GCGTCAATTTAACAATAATTACATTGTGATATAATACAAATTGAATTTAAACATTAAATCGGAAAAACATGTCAATGGTATATATCAGATTTTCCGTGACAATAGCTTTCAGTCTCCTCCGGAATCTTGGAACTAGCAGATTCTTTAAACATGACTCTTCTCTCGTTTGTGCCCATAGTTTAAGCTAGATTTACGCTAAGTTTTCTTTATTTATTCTCTAAGCTAATAAGAATTTTTTATTTTTATTTTAGTACCTAAATTAGTTTATGTCAGTAGTCGTTATTCGAGTATATGCGATAAGATAATTTATAATAATTAGTATTGTAGCGTCTATGTTCGAATATATGCCTTAAATATTGTATTTTTTCTTTAATTTATTTAAATAGATTATATTTATTTATTTCTTTCATAATTTGTTTCAATAGTTGATCCCACGGTTAGGCACGGAGGCCCTAGCGTTTGCTTTACATAACTTTTATTTTATTTAATTTTTTTTTTTTTAATAGATGCGTGCGCCAATTCACGCCATCAAATCACTAAAGAAGATACACTAAAAGACATTTCCACATTTAAAGATTGTTATTATTTCCTTCAGTAAAATGTTTATTAGTCCTACTTCATTTTGGTGCGTTTTTAAGATTCTTTCTAAGGAGAATTTTAAATAGTAACGATTGTATCTAANTACAGTTATCATGGTGTCTATCTTCAACGGTTTTGGAGATATTCCCGATTTTTCAGTTTTTAACGATAGATACGTATTTCGCAGCGCCGGCCACCTTCCCCTCGCATTTTACCAGGCTTGGGACTGGCAGAAATATTACTGGCATGCTTAAAAAGTGGCCAACAAAACACAACAAGACCACTGGAAACAAAACACAAATAAAAAAACACTATTGCATCAAATGTTCAAAATGTTGTCCGTTTTGTTCACTACATAATAGAAATCGTTTTTGTAAGGAGTTTTGCACATTTCTGAGCATTTCTGGTGTGATTTCTTGAAAAGCTCTTACAATGCGTTGACGCATATCGTCAGGAGTAGTTGGTGATGTCTCATAAACCTTGCTTTTAATGAAACCCCATAAAAAGAAATCGCAAGTGGTAAGATCTGGCGATCTCGGAGGCCATCTAACAGCGGTCCGGAAAGGACACATCCAAATACCGATGTACTTGGGCGGTATTGTGCGGTGGAGCACCATCGTGTTGGAACCACATCCACTGACGAATAGCTAGTGGAATATTTTCCAACAGAACGCCCAAACTATTTTCTAAAGAGTTTCTAAAGAGTGCGCAGGGTTTCAGGATGTGATAACTTGTCCAAAAATTTGAAAAAAAGGTTTTTATCAACTTACCCTCTAAAATGCACCATTTTCGAGATACAGGGTGTTGAAATTTAATAAAAAAAATCGTTTTTTGCGAATATCTCCGGAACCGTTTATCGTACAGAAAACAGCGTTTCTAAGCATTTTCTACTCATAATAAGCTAAGTTTTGTGCTTGAAAAAAATTCTTTAAAGTCATTATTGGTGAAGATTTTGAAGAGATAGTGGTTGTTTTTCTCCCCAACTTCTACGCCACTGGAAAAAGTACGGTTTTAAGATGGCCATTTGAAGCGTCAATGTTTTCTATACAAAAAAGGTACTGTAGCTCTAAAGTTGACCGTTTTCTAGAAAAATCAACTTTTATGTTGAAAAACATGGTCAATTTTTTGAAATAAAAATTTTATTTTACAATTAAACAAAATTTATGTAAAGTAACAAAAGCAAGCGTTCACTTCATAATTGCAAAATAAAAAAAAATGAAAAAATGATACAAAAGTTGTCTTTTGAAAAGTCTCCAAACCGTAAAGGTAACGCATTTCGCACATTTTAGCGTTTGTGTAAAAAATTGTGTAATTTATTTTTAACAAGTAGGTTTTTAAATTTTATAACAAAAGCTACCTCCTGTCAAAATAACAAGTAGTTTGTACCTGCAAAAAGTAAACTTGTAATACAGAATTAAAAATGAATTACACAAACGCTGAAATGTGCGAAATGCATTACCTTTACGGAATGGCTTGCGGTAATTCGTCAGAAGCAAGGCGGTTGTATCAAGAAAGACATCCTGATTACCACACCATAACTTGTTTCTACGCATTCACAAAGTACCAATCCGACTACAAGTACCAGAAAAATTGCTCACAATTTGAACCTATCTCACTCGACGGTTTGGAGAATTTTGAAAAGGCAACTTTTGTATCCCTACCATATCCAAACAGTATAAGCCAAGGTATATTGTCAAGAGATTTTCCGCCAAGATTTGTTTTTTGTACGTAGATGCAAGACAAAATAGCTCAAAATCCTGTGTTTGGACCCGATCTTTCTCCAAGGATGGTATTTTCAATTTTCACAATAACCACATATGGGCAGAAGAAAATCTACATGAAATTGCAGATCAATCAGCAACAATTTTCCGTAAATGTTTGGGCTGCCATCGTCGGTGATCATTTGATAGGCCCACATTTTTTACCGAACAGATTAAACGGTACAGATTATCGACAATTTCTAGAAAAAGTACTGCCGGAACTGCTGGAAGATGTACCACTTCAAGTAAGACAAAACATGTACTTTATGCATGATGAAGCTCCAACCCACTTTAGTTTGGTTGCTCGCCAATACTTGAACGACGAATACCCAGACCGTTGGATCGGTCGAGGAGGTCCGCACCCTTGGCCACCACGATCTCCAGAACTTAATTGTTTACATTTTTTCTTTTGGGGTCATCAGAAAACCCTAGTCTACGGTACTCCAGTTGAAAATGTTGACCAATTAAGAGAGCGCATTATTGTATCTTGCGACATAATTCGGAACACTCCGGAAATTTTCCTGCGTGTTAGACAGTCAATGCGTCGAAGAATTGCTGCCTGCATTGAAGCTAATGGCGATATTACATGGTTCAACCAAATTGATTCATTTTTCTTGAAAGGCGCAGAAATGAAAGATATGCTGTTTATACGTATCCACCAAAATGAACTACTCACTTTGCGCGGAAGATGTCGAATCAGGTCGTACGGTTGGGAATAACCTTAATTTGTGATCATTTAATTAAGCAGTTAACAAAAAAGAAACAAAGAAATAGAAGACGTTAGTGGGTACGACCATGGATATTAACTATATTAAGAAGACAGACCTTGGCAGCTTTAAACTGTCTATTGTGGAGAATTGGCTGAAGAGGATCCAGATTCATATAATCTTCGAATGAATAAAACAAAATTTGAAGAACTTCTAAAAATGATTACTCCGTTAATCCGGAAAGAAAGTACTGTGATGAGAGATGCTTTACCAGCACGAATAAAATTGCAAATCGTCCTCAAACATCTTGCTACTGGTGATTGTTTTGGATCATTGGAACAATTATTATAATTGTGATCTTAACAGGATGCATGTTATAGCTGATTGTAGCACGTCCGACATATTATTTTCATTATGTTGGTCAAACTGTTGTGTAGGTGTTTGAGTAATAGGTTGAGTGTGATAAATCGGCGAATTTTGAGTTAATGTTTCAAATTGTTCTTCAATAATATAATCTGGTGACTTCATGGACCAAGATGTTTGAGATGATGAACATGTTAAATTAGCAGATTGAATATTTGTATCTACAAAATCATATGTAGACTGTGTATTTAATGGGGAAGTTGTAGTGGGGGAGCTTGTAATGGACTGTAATGTATGAATCTAGTAGTACCACTGAACAAAAAAAACAATAATGATAATGCAAATATAAACTGTTTTGCGTACCACTTGAGAACTTCTCGCGTACCACCAGTGGTACGCGTACCATAGTTTGAGAACCACTGATCTAGACTATAGATACTTACTGGTGTTAACTATAATAGTGTATCCAGGCTACGTCGTTGAGGTTGTTGCTAAAAATTAATAAAATTAATTAGTTGCTGATGATGTGCTACATCATTTATTACCAAAAGAACCAAATTGAAAGGTATGACTTTGCCAATGCTATGAAATATTCGCCAGCTTTTAGTCGGCAAAAAAGTCTTCTAACTTTTATGAGTTAACGTAGTCTTCTTATGATGGCAACTACGAAGAACAAATTCCCAATGATACGAAATAATTATTTTCTTATTTTGGTACGGATGCTGATCGTTTAAAGCAGTGTTGATTAATATTTAATGTTTTTTTAAGAGCTTGTTTGTCGCCAATTTACAACGATTAAAACATCAATCTAATTGTCGTTGTGGTAATTATTAATAAAAAAAAATATACACCGTGATTTGCATATTTTTCCAAAATATTTACACAACTTAATTAAAACATAAATTGATACGGCAAAGTCTACCACGACATCCTTTTTAAATGCTTTTACTGCACAAATTATTAAAAACAATTCACATCTTGAAATGTCTCTATCCAAGTTACCATTTGAAAATATAACTGAAGATGTTGTCGAATTGGTTTATAAAGAACTTAGAATTGAAGTTGAGAAATTAGAGAATAGTTTAAAACTTGTTAAAGAATGGTTAAAATGTGAATCACATCTTCCAAACGATGTTGGTGAGATTTTTGAGTCTTAAATAATCTACTTAAATTGTCAAAAAATTACTAATTAATTGATTTTAGATGAAATATTGCTTAAAAATTTTATATTAGGATCGAAAGGTAACGTTGAACGGACGAAAGAGAAATTAGAAAAATATATAATCGCCAAAACAAAAATGGCCATTTTTTCCGATAGAATAATAAAGGATAAAGATTTCGCTTTGTATCCAATACAAAAATGCATTTATATTTCTCCCAAACACACCGCGGATGGTAATCGGATCTTTTTATGTAAAATTTCCTCACATGATCCGACTCATTTCAATCATTTCGTCACAACGAAATATTATTGTCTTTGCCGTAAATTAATTTGAATGATTTTTATGAAAAATCTATTTAAAAATTATTGTAGTTGACGTTCTGTTATATCACGATACCAGCACTGGTTATCATTTTATCTATGACGCTTCTGGACTTACACCGACTTTATTAAGCAAACTCAATCTTAGATTATTAAAAGATAGTTCCGAATTAGTTTATAACGTATCTCCAATAAGAATCAAATCGATTCAAATAGTGAATAATTCTGCAGCAATGAGCACAATTATGAACATTGGTAAATTATTTATGAGTGAAAAATTAAAAAGCCGAGTAAGAAAATGAATTAGAATTTAGAATTACTTTATGTTGTGAACAAAATTTTAGATTTCGACTATAACAGTTGAAGATTTATCAAAAATGTATCCAAAAAGTTGTTTACCACTTGAATATGGAGGAACAGACGTTAATATTGATGATGGAAGTAAAAGATTATTTGAAATTTTAAGGGAAAATAAGGATTGGTGCTTGAAAAGTGAAGAACCAAAATTAATCGGCCCTATTCCTGAGGATAAAAAGAATTTGTATTCTTTTGATGATTTAAGTATGGAGGGAAGTTTTAGGAAATTAAATGTTGATTAAGTTAATGCTTGGATTTCTCTCACCGAAGCGCTCTCATTAGGGAACGAAATAGATATTATTTAATTATTACTACTTTTATTATAATTAATGTGTTATATTAAACTAAAACTAGAATTAACACTATAACCTTCAGAAACAAGTTTGAAGTGATCAAAATATACAACAACTTGGCGTTAAATAACAATTAAAACTAGAATTAACTTAACACATCACTACAACTAACACTAGAACTAGAAACATTCGCATTTAACCGAGCGTTTCTTAAGACAGCCAAACCTGAATGATTCTAGTTCTAGTATTAGGTCTAGTATTAGTTCAATAAAGATATAACACAATCTTGATTACTATTCAGCGACAGGTCACTAGCGCTAAATAACAACAAAAACAAACACTAAATCCTAACGTTTCTAGTCCTAGATATAGTGTTAGTTCTAGTTTTAGTTTTAGCCGTCTTTAAAGACGTGCGGCTAATCCCGACTGTTTCTAGTTCTAGGTCTAGAGTTAGTTCTAGTGACAGTTCAATAACAATACATAACCTAGGCCTATCTAGTGCCAGCTAGCACTACTTAGAACTGTCACTAGACCTAGAACTAGAAACATTCGGGCTTAGCTGCACGTCTTGAAAGACGGCTAAACACGAATATTTGTACTCATGATGTGGATCCTTGTTATCAATATATGTATGTGAAAATAATTAAACGTATATTTATGCTTTTATTGATATATTAAGTTTTACACTCTGCCTGACGCGTTTCGGCGAGATGGGGTAAGATGGCGTAGATCGCCGAAACGCGTCAGGCAGAGTCTAAAACTTAATATATCAATAAAAGCATAAATACAGGGTGTCTCAGCGAGACCGGTCATTAGACGTTTCTGGGGTTCTGGCCAAAAAAAAATTTGAGAATGCAGACTTAAGTATTATCAATTACGTTCTCTTCATCTAAAATATTTTCAGATTTCTAGCACTTCCGGTTATACCGGAAGTCGCCACCTACTTTATTTTTTTAAATGGAACACCCTGTATATTTTTACATATTTGGATTTGTCTGTTTTGAAGGTTTATAAATAACTTTACTTTTTGCAATTTGAACCAGCAATTCTCGAGTTATTCGAATTTTTCTAGAAAAATTTGCTCCAGCGGACATTTGTTCAAAAAATCATAGAACACT